GTCCTTGCCAGACCCTCAACGCACAAGATTAATCCATCTCAACCAACGGATGAGATTGATCAACCATGAAGGCCTATAAATATAGGTAGAAGCATGAGTTCAAAATAAGCTTGAGCATCCTAAGTAGAGAAATACTTTCATCAAAGCATATACGAGCTATCTAGCAAAAGAGAAAGTGCAAACTCAACTTTACTCTCTGCTTAGCCTCATGCTTCACTAAGCTCTTAGATTAGATCAACATTTTCACATTTTTAGAGCTTAGTTCATAGTTGGAGGTTAGAACTTTCTTGTAACATTTCACAAGTGGTTGTAAACACTTAGGAGAACAGTTGTTCGGATCCTAAAGTGTAGTTAGATAGATAGAGTACCTTTTGATCCCCACTGGATCAATTGAGAAAAGTCTAAGGACTGAGTAACTTTGAGTGGTGTTATACTCATTGTGAAAAACCTTCAATCTAGGCCTAAGTGTTGTAAAGGCTAGATTGGCACTAAGTGTATTGGGCTTAATACTTTAGTGGAAATCCATCTGAAATAGGGTGGGACTGGATGTAGGAGGATTACACCACCTCTGAACCAGGATACATCGTGTGTTGATTTCACTTCATTCAACAAAACACACACCCAGCACTTCTCGTATAAAGATTGTAGTTTGCCAGCAGCATCTTAAGCAGTTGTCTTAATTGACCCAACTGCTTATCCTTCTGCTTAATTACTCACTCTCTTTGAGGCTATCTCCACACAGTTCACTTGCTAAAGCATTACCAAAAAGGTTGTTCTATCAATTCTCGGAAATTCACTTTCAAAGTACAGCAGGTGCCTCAGCAGTCTCCTCAGTACCACCCAACTGCTGAGCCCCCTGTTCACATACATATATTTCCTTTAAACAACTCAACATCACCAGATCCTCATAACATCATCACACGAAGTTTTGCTCTGAAAATCTGCTCATAACCTAAGCAGGTGACCCAGCAGTTCCCTTTGTACCACCCAACTGCCAAGACCACTGCTCCAGTTAACCTTCATCTTAACCTTACTTAAGTACCTTTTCAGACATCTTTCTTGCGTTCTAAACAACGTTTCATCATCACTATCATCATAAAGTCAATATTTCTTTAGCAGTTACCTCAGCAGGTTCCTGCTACCTAGTCAACTGCTAAGCTAACTGCCAAGCCAACTGCTAGCTATCTAAGTCCAATCTTCCCAGAATTAGAAAGCGGTCAAACACTCATTACATAAAGGGTAAAGACTTCCGCTGTGCATCTGTTAATCTCTCAAAACGATTATAGAGCAATTCATCTAGAGGGAAAACTTCATAAAGTTGAAAAAGATTTAAAAGTCTATTCACCCCCCCCTCTAGACTTTTACCCTATCCGGGACCATCACAAGCTTTAGTCAAGACTTATGTGTTTTCCCATCTTGCTCCACAGTGTGGATTATCTACAAGGAAGAACAAGCAATAAATTTTACCCTTTATTCACCTTCCTTCTTGGTTCTACTTGCCCAGACCCATCTTCCTGAAGCAGTAGACCGGCAATTGGATAAAAACGTATAGTTACACTATAAATTAAACAAATTCAATTTTGGGACTATTTTTAGACATCATTTATATTCCCAAACTACAATAGTCACTATTGGAAACTAGAGAGCCTTCTTAGAATGTCATTCATCAAAACCACAAGAATGAAAGATGGTAGGAAAAGAAAACGAGAGAATCGTCAAGTTTATACATAGGCTCATCAAGACTTTGATCCTCATCTAAATTCAGAAGACATAAGTATAACAAACTACATAGTTATCCAGCATTCATAGGATACGTATAATATCCACTTACAGAAAATCTCAGAAAAAGACACGATTTCCAAACACCAAAATCTCCATTTAGCAAAAGTTTGAACAAATAATCACTGCATGTAGAAACAGATGCAAAGAGTTAGCAGAGCCGTGAAGTTACAAAAGAGAAAAATATCATATTAGTTCAAAGCTCTTTTGACCTGTGAAAATTTACGCTCAATATCTAAAAGTAAGGAATTGTCACAAAAACCAGGACAATTTACACTCACTTTTTAAAGAACTACAAAAGGGTGCTTTAGCATTCAAATTTTAGTTCAAGGAAAAATACATCTACTAAGTTCAATTCATATGACTTACTTCATGAAAAAAAAGTTCAAATATAATGCCTTACCAGATTAATGGAGTGTTCAAGTTGCCCTTGCCTTAGAAAATCCCATTATTTCTAGTTCAGTGAGTAAGTTTTGTTGTAATCTGAATTGGGAGTGGAAACACCAAATCGAAATTTCAATGTACAACTTATGTGAAGTTAAAGATATTATTTTATGCCGATTAAAAAACTCACACAGAACAAGATTTTTTAACCGAAATAGGGGGCGGGTTGAGACTGGGAGTCCGGGACAACTGAGACTGATTGGTAAAGTGTCCACCTATCTGATGCATGAATATGCCAACTGATAAGCGTTTTATTAACGTGTTTTACACAATCATTTATAAACGCTTTTATACTTAAAAGAATTAAATCTTCACACATATGCCTCGTTTTGCTAGAAGTTCTTTAAATCAACAAATGGATCAAATGCAAGGATGGTAGAATACACACGAAGAAACCGACGGAAAAAGGTCAACCAAACGCATCCCGAGGAACAAATAAAGACCACAAAAAGGCCCAAGACAGACGAATGCCGCCCGGTTTATGCCAAAGGCGGCCGGCCTTTGGTCCGCAAGCTTATTTTCGCATCCAAAGCTGAAAAATCTGATCCGGAGCAAGAAAGGACGAAAGCCGCCCGGCTTTCGTGAACACCGGCCGACTTTTGGTCGCCGAAGGAATTGTTCAGAATTTAATTACAAAAGCCGCCCGACTTTTGTAAATGGCGGCCGGTTTTCGACCCCTGGAGCGGAGGAGCATCATTTTAAACGCGCAAAAGCCGCCCGGCTTTTGCGAAAGTCGCCCGCCTTTCGTCTGGAATTGATTAAAACAAGCAACGGTCATCACAATCATTCGAGAGAAGCTCCAAATCCAATTAAGGAGCTTGCTTCCTTGTCTAAAAATGGCCGTTGAAGACCAAATATTTAAGCATATGGAAGCCCTCTCAAGTGTTTATTCCATATTCCATACACTTTACTTCCATTTTAGCACTCCAAGATCAACCCCTTGGTCTTGGGGGAAGTTCTACACTTGGGGATCCCATTATCCACCATAGCTTTGGAGTTGTGGTATTATCTTCTTATGTATTTCATTGTATTTCATCAATTCAATACTTGTAATTTCATTATGAGTTGCTCTAGCTAATTTTCCATAGCCAAGGTTAGGGATGAAACTTTACGCACTCTAGGTGTTTGATGTATGTTCTCAACCAAATTATTATGATCTTTCCTTTTTATTTTAATGTGTATGACTACGGTGTACAACGTATGATTATATCGTTGGGTTTATTTGAGCAATTAACGTTGAGTTATAAACCGTGCACTTAAAGGCTAGACATATTCTAATTGTGGATAGAAATATACCTCAATTGAATATGGTGGTTGAAATAATGTCCTAATCTCCAATGGGGTTAATTTTAGATGAATGTGAACCGTGACGGGATTCACACGTAGAATTGATCACAATCTCGCTGCCGTAACAGGAGTTAGAATACTTTAGTGACATTCCACTCATAAGAATTGGTGAAAGAATATACATTAATCGCTAGGAGTCGTTTAGGAGTAATCCCGAACCCTTGGTTGCTTTTATTATCACTTGAAAAAAACCAAAAATCTCTACTCTTTTACCAAGTCTTTTACAAATTATATTCTCAACTTTTGAATCATATAAACAACGTTTCCTCGTGTTCGACTCGGTATTTTTACCGGATTTTATTACTACATCGGCACTTGTACACTTGCAAGTCTAAGCCGATCAAGTTTTTGGCGCCGTTGCCGGGGAAGCGATTTTGTTTTATACGGTTCAACAAAATTCTTGAATTTTCCCTTTACATTTCACTTGGTTTTGTTTTGAATTTTGTTGTGTAGACAAGCTCTTAGTGCATGCTATTGAGAAGTCAAGGCTCTACAAACCTTGAACCTATCAATCTTGAGATTGAGAGAGCTTGTAGAAGGAATCGGAAGGAGAAGGAAGCAAGAGTACCAACAATGCTTCCCACACTCAATGAACGGAAGAGGCCCGTTATTGCCACCACTCCTTCTTGCATCGTTCTTAGCGAGGCGGCACGGGACTATGAGTTGCGGAATAGCTACTTCAATGCTATGCCGCACTTCTATGGACAACCGGGAGAGAATCCATTAAATTTCATTACCGAATTTTATGGGTTCATTCAAGGTGTGCCTAGGAATGGGCTAAGTGAAGGTGATCTAAGGCTCAAGTGCTTCCCTTACACCTTGAAGGGAGCGGCTTGAGGGTGGTTTCTAGAGCAAACACCGGCATCCTATGCTACTTGGGATGAAATATACAATGTTTTCATCTCCAAGTACTACACTCCCACAATGACGCAAGAGCTACGACAAAGAATCTTCAACTTCAAACAACAAGTTGGAGAACTTTTTCAAGACGCATGGAGACGTTTCAAGTCTTTATTGAAGGAATGCCCCCATCACCGCATCCCTCTTGACCTCCAAATTGACACTTTTTACAATGGCTTGAACCCATCTTGTCAAGCTATTGTAGACAACCGAGCGGAGGGGTACATTGGAAACAAAACGGAGACGGAAGCTTTGAGGATTCTTGAGTCCATTGCTTCAAATCCTCAACTACAAGGAGGAGACATCAAGGTGGCGGGAGTGAATGAAATCTCTATCACTCATGAACTTGACAAGAGGTTTGAAGAGTTTCAAACCAAAATGCAACAAAATATACAAGCATCAATTCATACGGCTTTACAAGCCGTTATTGGAGGGGCTCAACAAGTGGCAAATGTGGAGAGTGTCCCTAATACGGAAGGTAACTCCTCTCAACATCTTGAGGATGTTAACTACATGAATTCCTATGGTAACCGGGCAAATCAAGGTGGAAATAATTTTTCCAACATCAACCAACAAAGGTACAACCAAGGAAACAATTATAGGGCACAAGGGAGTTCTTCAAACCTTCAACCCGGAGCCCCCAAATTTGGGCAATCGCAAGAGTCTGCTATGGAGGAGATGATGAAGCTTCTCACAAAAAATGTTGCTAGCATCAAAACTCAAAATGAAGAAAATCATAGTAGAATGGAGGCATCCATTAGGAATCTCCACAATCAATTCACTAAACTTGACATGCGTTTTGAAGATCAAAACCGGAAGCTAAATCAACGCATGGACAATATTGAACAATATACCAAGTCCTCTATTCATAACTTGGAGGTTCAAATTGGCCAACTTGCTCAAGAAAGGACAACTAGGGAGCATGGTAGATTTCCTACTACAACGGAAGTCAACCCGAGGGAGAATGTTATGGCTATCTGTCACGCCCCGGACCTCCCCGGACACGTCAACAACCCGCCGTACAATACGAATAGTCAACCGCAGTCCAACACATTCATATTATACAAGGCGTCATGAATATCATTCACACACAAGTCATCCATAAACAACATAATAAGTAATTCATAAAGCAGCGGAAAACATTGTTTAAAACAAAAGGGCCACACAGGGCTATTCATGAGCACGCAAGCTCTATAATAAAATATCCATGAGCATGTTTATTAATGTTTAAAATCCGAATGGAGGAAGCACGAACCAAGTCTTCGCTCCTAGATGATCTCTCGAGCAACGAGCACAGGAAGCAAGCTCTAGCCTCAACCTGAAAAATGGTGGTGGGACGCCCCCGAAGGGGTCAGCACTCTATAGGGCTATAAAGTGCTGGTGTGGCAGGCATCTAATAGATATACAACAAGTATTTCAAACACAAGACCCTCAAATAGGGTGATAGTATATTATGATTGTAACCCTAAGTTACCCCGTTTAAAAATATACTTACTTTATATAAAAGTCAAGTAGCCGGCCCGTGGGCCCATGTTCATTTGGAAATCACCATTCCCAACCCCGTGACTATAAGCCACGACAACTCCTAGAGTCCAACCCTAGTACATGACATTGTATTCTAGAGCTCGGCTCTACCACATCACCATACAATTCATATACCTCGGGTCAATCTCCCTACCTTGCGTTCTAGAGCTCGGCTCTATCACATCACCACGCAAGTCCTAGAGCTCGGCTCTAGCGATACAATACATAGACTCCAAGTCTACACCTTACATGCATTCTAGAGCTCGGCTCTATCACATCACCATGCATTAAGGTCCAATTCTCAAGCAACCCTATGCCTAGAATTGACATATCATTAAACTACCATGGGTCATCCTTAAAGACTCCCCATAACTTAACCTTAGTTCCATACTAAGTTATCATATACACTTGAACTACATTCAAGTACCTTTCATACAATCCAATCCCTAGGATCAATTTAATCAACAAGTTCCAATAATCACTAACTAGTATTCCAATACTATTAAGATTATTGTTATCGTACCATTATCCTCATTGTTTGTAATTCTCTACATATTTATAATTATGTAGCAGCAACTTAAGTATTCAATCTCAATACACAAATATTCATTTATGTATCCACATGATTCATACATGAGCAAAATGCCCACTTTCACAAAATAGTTCATTTACACTCATTTAATCTCATATTATTCATACTTTCTCAAATCATTCCAAATTCATTCTTTGGCAACTATATCAATATTTCATCAATATATAGTCATCATAATCCATGAAAAATCATGATTTAAGCATTTAGGTAATCTCATGCTTAACCTACAAGTTGTAAGCAATTAGATGTCAATCCTCACCTCAATTGAGCTTTACACTTTCCCTTCTTGGTCCAATGGTCAAATCTTTGGTCAAGGTGGATTTGGGACTGATTCCTTGCTCAAATATGAGTGTTAAACAGCCTCCTCAAAGTGCTAGTTCAACCCTTAATCGTTGATACGAAAACAGCCCCTAGAACGGGTGTTTTCCGGCCAACTCGATTCCTAGTTTTCCAATATTTGCATCTAGGTTAGTATCTAACCTTTACATCAATAAAATAACTTTATAAGGACATATTATACACTTGGATTAGTGTATAATAGTCTCACCAAGCGTTCATATCATTTGGAGAATGAAGAGTAAAGTTTTGGGGTTAAAACTCACTTTAGAAGATTAAATCCTCTCCTGCGAGGTTGTGTTTTGTTCGGACGATTTGGAAGCCTTCCACAACTCCGATTCCTGCAAACCAGACCTTCACGGATTCCTCGTCTTGAGAGCTTTCTGTGGGTATCTCACACGCCTTAATTGGATTTGTAAAACTCGAGATATCGACCAAATAGTCTCAGCACTCTCACAGCTCGAGTTCACAGACCTCTGCTCGTTCCAGATCGATTTTTGGATGATTGCTCTCTCCTCTCGAATTGAGACCACTCAATTATAAAAATAGACTTCAAAAGCTATCCAAGGACACCTTATACACCTCATTTGGTCAAGTATAACATCACACATGGAGGGAGACAACCAGCACCATCTTTTTGTGCGAAAATGGACTAGGTGGCCCCTCTTGGATGTCCTTCATGTCTTGTGCAGCCCCCCTTCATTTTTATCCGTCCATCCCTACTCCTAACACTTATTTTCTTTTGTCTTGCAGGTGTCAATGTGTATGGGACGCACCCCTATTGATCCCAATAGATTTGGGGTCCGAAATATCTATCAATACTTCCAAAAAATGAAAAGATGGACCCTATTGTTTTATCTTTGTCAAAAGATGTCTTTTTGTGCTCATCCTAATTTATTTAGAACAAGTCAACTTCCAAGGTCACATTATTGATCTCCAATATGTGTAGGCTCATCCCAATAATTTACATGATGAAAATTACCAAAAGAATGCGGGTTTGAACAATACAATATTCAATCATGTACTTCGTAAAATATTAATCGTTTCTTCCATTGCTTTGAAATCGGAAATTCAATACATCACTTTTGAATTTTTAAATCGAATTTTCAAGGACGTTCGGGTGCGGTGTCACAAGTTCACCCCCCCTTAACAGGAATTTCGTCCCCGAAATTCACAGCTCTACTCGAATAGGAAAGCATACTGCTTCCTCATCAAAGCCTCCGTTTCCCATGTCTCTTCCTCGACCCGATCGCTTTTCCACAGGACTTTAACCATTGGGACTTCTTTGCTCCTCAGCTTCTTCACCTTTCTATCGGTGACTTTGATAGGTTGAACAGCGTAGTTCAAATCCTCACGTACCTCTACAGGTGGCTTCTCCAATACGTGAGAGGGATCATGCACGTACTTCTTAAGCATGGATACATGAAACACATTATGTATCTTCTCTAACTCAGGAGTCAATTGTAGACGATATGCAACGGCCCCAATCCTCTCTATAATTCTGAATGGACCTATATATCGTGGGTTAAGTTTTCCTCGGGTTTGGAACCGAATGATCCCTTTCCAAGGAGAAACTTTCAAGAATACCTCGTCATCAACCTTAAACTCTAAGGTTCTTCGACGCTTATCTGCATAACTCTTTTGTCTATCCTGAGCCGCCTTGAGTCTCTCTCGAATCAACTTCACCTTTGATTTGGTGACCTCCACCAACTCAGTACCCTCGAGTTTGGCCATGCCAACCTCGTCCCAGCATAACGGTGTACGACACCTCCTCCCATACAATGCCTCGTATGGAGGCATGCCGATGCTTGCCTGATAACTGTTGTTATAGGCAAACTCCACAAGTGCTAAGTGGTTGTCCCAACTCCCCTGGAACTCCAATGCACAAGCCCTCAGCATGTCTTCTAGGATCTGTATAACCCTTTCAGACTGCCCATCCGTCTGTGGATGGAAAGCAGTGCTGAACTTCAACTTCGTTCCCATAGACTCCTGGAATTTCGGCCAAAAACGTGATGTGAATCGTGGGTCTCTATCAGATACAATGGTCACCGGGACCCCATGCAGCCTCACGATCTCATCCGTATACAATTTGGCTAACCTCTCAAGTGGGTAGGTAGTGTTGATAGGCAAGAAGTGTGCACTCTTTGTGAGCCTATCCACAACGACCCAAACCGCGTCATAGTTCCTGATAGTCCGTGGTAAGCCTACCACGAAATCCATAGTCACGTGCTCCCACTTCCATTCAGGGATGGAGAGTGGTTGTAACAAGCCTGCTGGATGCTGATGTTCTGCCTTAACTTGTTGGCAAGTAAGGCATCGACTGATGTACTCGGCTATTTCCCTCTTCATTCCAGACCACCAGTAACTTTCTTTCAAATCACGGTACATTTTCGTGCCCCCCGGGTGCATGGCATAAGCCGATGAATGAGCCTCCTCTAAGATGGACTTTCGGAGCTCATCATCCGCCGGTACACACACTCGGTCACGAAATAATAAGAGACCGTCATCTCTTTCTCTGAAGTCCTCCACCGGTCCCGCTTGCATGCGTTCCCGGATCTTCATCATTTCCTCGTCGGTTTCCTGACCCCTCTTGATCTCATCAAGTAAAGTAGGTCTCACCTCAAATCGTGCCAATAAGGCACCATCGCTGGATACCTCCAGTTGGGCTCTTAATGCCCTCAAATTAGCTAGCAATGTCCCAGACGAGCTCTTCCGGCTCAAAGCATCTGCTACCACGTTTGCCTTGCCGGGGTGATACTCTATCACTAGATGGTAGTCTTTTATCAACTCCATCCACCGTCTCTGTCTCATGTTTAGCTCTTTCTGAGTAAACACGTATTTCAAGCTTTTGTGATCAGTGTATATGTGACATGTCTCCCCGTAGAGATAATGTCTCCATATCTTCAGTGCAAACACCACTGCCCCCAGCTCCAAATCATGAGTAGGATAATTCACCTCATGCTTCTTCAACTGTCGTGAAGCATAGGCGATTACCCTCCCATTCTGCATCAGTACACATCCGAGCCCTTGGATGCTCGCATCGCTATAGACATCGTACCCCACACCCTGTTTGGGTAATGCAAGTACCGGTGCCTCGGTCAATCGCTTCTTTAGTTCCATGAACCCCTTCTCACATCTGTCATCCCATACAAACTTAGCCCCTTTACGAGTGAGCTTCGTCAATGGTGATGCCAAAACAGAGAACTTTTCCACAAACTTCCTATAGTAGCCTGCCAATCCAAGGAAACTACGAATTTCCTTGACGTTCTTTGGCCTCTCCCATTCGGTAATGGCTTCTATCTTCTTGTTGTCAACAGCAATTCCCGATCCAGAAACCACATGCCCGAGAAATCCAATTTCCTTTAGCCAAAATTCACATTTAGAAAATTTGGCATAGAGTTGCTTTTCCCGTAGTGTCTCGAGGACAAGTATCAAGTGCTCCTCATGTTCTTCTTCACTCTTGGAGTAAATCAAGATGTCATCTATGAACACAATCACGAATCGGTCCAAGTATTTATGAAATACTCGGTTCATCAAGTCCATGAATGCCGCCGGGGCGTTTGTTAACCCAAACGACATAACAAGGAATTCAAAATGCCCGTACCTTGTGCGGAAAGCACTCTTTGGTATGTCATCCTCCTTAATCTTCAATTGATGCTACCCCGACCTCAAGTCAATCTTCGAAAACACGGTTGCCCCTCGTAGTTGGTCAAACAAGTCATCAATTCTAGGCAAGGGATACCTATTCTTGATTGTGACCTTGTTCAGTTGACGATAGTCAATACACATTCGAAGTGTCCCATCTTTCTTTTTCACAAAAAGAACGGGTGCTCCCCACGGGGAGTGGCTTGGTCTAATGAAACCATTATCCAAAAGCTCTTGCAATTGGGTTTTCAACTCGTTAAGTTCAGCGGGTGCCATACGGTATGGCGATATGGAGATTGGTTTGGTACCAGGCTCAACCTCGATCACAAATTCAATCTCCCTATCAGGTGGAAGCCCCGGTAGGTCTTTAGGAAAGACATCCGGATACTTACAAACCACCCTCACGTCGTCGATGTTTGTTTCCTCCTTGGTTTTGTCAACCACGTATGCTAGATATGCGTGGCACCCCTTTCTTATCATACTTCTCGCTCTCACAGCGGATATGATACAACTGTTGGATTTGCCTCGATCCCCCTCGAAGCGTAGGGTGTCCCCATCGTTGCCTTCGAGTTCCAAAACCTTTGTGTAGCAATCTACCCTAGCATGATGCTTTTCTAGCCAATCCATCCCTAAGATTGCATCGAACTCCATCATACTCAGCGGTACGAAATCACACGTCAAGGTTTGGCGATCGATTTCCACCTCACAAGATGGATAGTAAGTAGCTCTTTCAATGTCATCCCCTAGTGGTGTTGATACCACTAGAGTTTGCGTCATTGGGATTGATTGTACCCCTAAATCCTCGGCGAACGCCTCACTCACGAATGAACGTTGCGCTCCGGTATCGATAAGGATTCGTGCATCCTTCCCATTAATCTTTAATGTTCCTACATTTATAAGCCATGTAAGACACCATTCCTAACATGTCTAAACTTTATTTAGAGTTAGGGTGCATTTACCGTTCAAACGGGGTGGGTCCCGTTTTAATCCGAAAAATTTTCGGACGAAAACAGCTTCGGACCGGCGCCGGTTCAGGCCTGACCGGCGCCGGTTGCCCGGGTTAAACGTCCCGGCTGCACCGGTCATAATGGGCCGGTTCCATACAGGCTTTGCTCCAGGGAAGGTCCGACGCCGGTTGGTGGGTTTCCGGCGCCGGTTGGGTAGGTTTCCAGGCTAACAGCGCCGGTTATGGAGGGCCGGTCGCACACAGGCTCGTCCCAGGGCAGATCCGGCGCCGGTTAGGGGGTGTCCGGCGCCGGTTGGCTGGAAAAATGCTTTGTTGTGCGCCGGTTGGAGAGAGCCGGTTCCAAACAGGCTCACCGAATCGCCATCTCCGGCGCCGGTTAGTGGGTTTCCGGCACCGGTTGCCCCCTTTTTTTGTACATTTTAACTTTAAACATCCCCACGTGATCCTAAATTGTTCGGGGCTTAATCCCTAAACGTGTACACACAAGTAAGGCTAATATACCACACTCTAATGAGATAAATACCTGCAATGGAATCCGGGTTCGCTCGAGCATCCGCTTCCGTCATCGCATAGACTCGAGCTTGAGTCCTTCCTTGATTCACGGATGGCGCGTTGCTCGTACTCGCTCCCCCGTGTCCCTGGCTTGCTTGAGAAGCCCCGGTTTGATTCCGTGTACCCGTCGGGCCACTACTCGGTCCCGATGTCCTGATCCCGCCCAATTGTGGGCAATGCGCCTTCAAATGTCCGGCATCCCCACATTGGAAACATCTAGGGGGGTCGCGACATTTACCGGAATGGTTCCTCTTGCAATTGTTGCAACGAGTTACCACTGAGGTCTGTGACCTCGAGCCTTGCCCACTTGGGCCTTGGTTCCCCCTAGATGGTGGCGGTGGTGCCCGGAAAGATCCTCCTCCGTGGTTCCCCTTTTTGTTGGAACCTTGGGAGCCATGACTCTCCCACTTTCTCTTTTTCGCCTCCTCGGCGTCTCTCTTCTTCCTCTCCTCCCACTGTTTCTCCCCCTTCAACGCTTGGTCAACCACTTGGGCGAAAGTCATATTAGGCAATTGTGTTGCCCTATCACGTATCTCCAAGTCAAGAGCATCCAAAAAGTGGTTCACCATTCGGTTCTCGTCGCAAGCATACTCCGGTATGTAGTCGGCGAGATCCCGGAACTTGTACTCAAGTTCCTTCACTGTCATGTTACCCCCTTGGGTTAGGAGGGTGTATTCCCTCACCTTCTTGTTTACTTCAAAATCAGAATAATATTGGGCAAAGAACTCCCGTTGGAAGTCCTCCCAAACTACGGTCTCACCGTACTTGCTCTTAGTTCCATCCCACCACTTGGATGCCATCCCCTCGAGCAATCTTACCGCAATTCTCAGTTTGAGATTCGGCGCGATTTGCATGTCAAGGGCTGCTTCATTTAGCCTCTTGATCCATTGTGCTGCAACTGAAATGTCCCCAGCTCCATCAAAGGGTTTGCACCCCAAATCTCTTGCTTCTTTGATGAATTTGGAGATCCTTATGGTTGGACCTCCATCATTTTGGCCTCCATGTGGTTCCACATGGACTCTAGATGCACCATGACTTCCTCCTCTTGAAGCCATGCCCGAAGGTTGCCCAGCCCGGCGCCTTCGGCGTTCCCTCCTCTCTTCACGCTCACGGTGATACTGTTGGAGTAGCGCCTCAATCCGTGCCAAGGAGCCATTTTCCTCCTCATCACTTACATCATCATCATCCCCTTCATAAGGGGTTTCAACCGGTTCTGTTTCCGGTCGATAGGTCGAGTCCTCATAGGACCAGTAGCTGTCACTTTCAGTGCTCACATGACCGTCACTCACGGTCCGTGATTGGCCTCCACGGCCCGCTCCTCTAGATGCCCTAGAGGTCCTACGACTGCCTTGCCCAGTCTCCTCGGGTGCACGGCCCAAAGGGTTCCTCCTAGTTACCTTGCCACCACGGTCCATTTCTGAAAGAAATTTGGAAAGAGTCGTCAGACTCGTATCAAATGTCAATTGACGGATAGGTACTTAAGACACATTTTGGCTCGAGTCACCGCCATACCAATTGCTAAGGGTACCATCTTAACAATTAGAGACCTTGCAACTCAAGTACCAAAAGCTCTCCAAGTACAAAACTTCTATGCTCATGGTTTTCAAAATCTTTTCAAAAAGAGAATTTTGAGACTTCATTATGAAGTTTATGGACTAAGTCTCTGATACCAACTTAATTGTCACGCCCCGGACCTCCCCGGACACGTCAACAACCCGCCGTACAATACGAATAGTCAACCGCAGTCCAACACATTCATATTATACAAGGCGTCATGAATATCATTCACACACAAGTCATCCATAAACAACATAATAAGTAATTCATAAAGCAGCGGAAAACATTGTTTAAAACAAAAGGGCCACACAGGGCTATTCATGAGCACGCAAGCTCTATAATAAAATATCCATGAGCATGTTTATTAATGTTTAAAATCCGAATGGAGGAAGCACGAACCAAGTCTTCGCTCCTAGATGATCTCTCGAGCAACGAGCACAGGAAGCAAGCTCTAGCCTCAACCTGAAAAATGGTGGTGGGACGCCCCCGAAGGGGTCAGCACTCTATAGGGCTATAAAGTGCTGGTGTGGCAGGCATCTAATAGATATACAACAAGTATTTCAAACACAAGACCCTCAAATAGGGTGATAGTATATTATGATTGTAACCCTAAGTTACCCCGTTTAAAAATATACTTACTTTATATAAAAGTCAAGTAGCCGGCCCGTGGGCCCATGTTCATTTGGAAATCACCATTCCCAACCCCGTGACTATAAGCCACGACAACTCCTAGAGTCCAACCCTAGTACATGACATTGTATTCTAGAGCTCGGCTCTACCACATCACCATACAATTCATATACCTCGGGTCAATCTCCCTACCTTGCGTTCTAGAGCTCGGCTCTATCACATCACCACGCAAGTCCTAGAGCTCGGCTCTAGCGATACAATACATAGACTCCAAGTCTACACCTTACATGCATTCTAGAGCTCGGCTCTATCACATCACCATGCATTAAGGTCCAATTCTCAAGCAACCCTATGCCTAGAATTGACATATCATTAAACTACCATGGGTCATCCTTAAAGACTCCCCATAACTTAACCTTAGTTCCATACTAAGTTATCATATACACTTGAACTACATTCAAGTACCTTTCATACAATCCAATCCCTAGGATCAATTTAATCAACAAGTTCCAATAATCACTAACTAGTATTCCAATACTATTAAGATTATTGTTATCGTACCATTATCCTCATTGTTTGTAATTCTCTACATATTTATAATTATGTAGCAGCAACTTAAGTATTCAATCTCAATACACAAATATTCATTTATGTATCCACATGATTCATACATGAGCAAAATGCCCACTTTCACAAAATAGTTCATTTACACTCATTTAATCTCATATTATTCATACTTTCTCAAATCATTCCAAATTCATTCTTTGGCAACTATATCAATATTTCATCAATATATAGTCATCATAATCCATGAAAAATCATGATTTAAGCATTTAGGTAATCTCATGCTTAACCTACAAGTTGTAAGCAATTAGATGTCAATCCTCACCTCAATTGAGCTTTACACTTTCCCTTCTTGGTCCAATGGTCAAATCTTTGGTCAAGGTGGATTTGGGACTGATTCCTTGCTCAAATATGAGTGTTAAACAGCCTCCTCAAAGTGCTAGTTCAACCCTTAATCGTTGATACGAAAACAGCCCCTAGAACGGGTGTTTTCCGGCCAACTCGATTCCTAGTTTTCCAATATTTGCATCTAGGTTAGTATCTAACCTTTACATCAATAAAATAACTTTATAAGGACATATTATACACTTGGATTAGTGTATAATAGTCTCACCAAGCGTTCATATCATTTGGAGAATGAAGAGTAAAGTTTTGGGGTTAAAACTCACTTTAGAAGATTAAATCCTCTCCTGCAAGGTTGTGTTTTGTTCGGACGATTTGGAAGCCTTCCACAACTCCGATTCCTGCAAACCAGACCTTCACGGATTCCTCGTCTTGAGAGCTTTCTGTGGGTATCTCACACGCCTTAATTGGATTTGTAAAACTCGAGATATCGACCAAATAGTCTCAGCACTCTCACAGCTCGAGTTCACAGACCTCTGCTCGTTCCAGATCGATTTTTGGATGATTGCTCTCTCCTCTCGAATTGAGACCACTCAATTATAAAAATAGACTTCAAAAGCTATCCAAGGACACCTTATACACCTCATTTGGTCAAGTATAACATCACACATGGAGGGAGACAACCAGCACCATCTTTTTGTGCGAAAATGGACTAGGTGGCCCCTCTTGGATGTCCTTCATGTCTTGTGCAGCCCCCCTTCATTTTTATCCGTCCATCCCTACTCCTAACACTTATTTTCTTTTGTCTTGCAGGTGTCAATGTGTATGGGACGCACCCCTATTGATCCCAATAGATTTGGGGTCCGAAATATCTATCAATACTTCCAAAAAATGAAAAGATGGACCCTATTGTTTTATCTTTGTCAAAAGATGTCTTTTTGTGCTCATCCTAATTTATTTAGAACAAGTCAACTTCCAAGGTCACATTATTGATCTCCAATATGTGTAGGCTCATCCCAATAATTTACATGATGAAAATTACCAAAAGAATGCGGGTTTGAACAATACAATATTCAATCATGTACTTCGTAAAATATTAATCGTTTCTTCCATTGCTTTGAAATCGGAAATTCAATACATCACTTTTGAATTTTTAAATCGAATTTTCAAGGACGTTCGGGTGCGGTGTCACACTATCACTTTGAGAAGTGGTAAACAAATGGAAGGGCCAACAATTGAAGAAGAGCCCATTGAAAAACAAAGCGAAGAAGAGCATATTTCACCACCATCCATGACGGCTTATGTTCCCCCAATTCCTTACCCACAAAGGATGAAGAAGAAAGATGATGGAAAGCAATACAAAAAGTTCCTAGACATCTTCACCAAATTGAGCATCAACATCCCCTTTGCCGAGGCCATTGCCGAAATTCCTTCTTATGCAAAATTTTTGAAGAATATTCTTAGCAACAAAAAGAAGTTGGCGGATTTTGCTACCGTAGCACTCACGGAGGAATGTAGTGCTATTCTTCAAAACAAATTACCTCAAAAATTGAAGGATCCCGGGAGCTTTACCGTTCCTTGTTCTATTGGAAGCTTAGGGGAGGTAAAATCCCTTTGTGATCTTGGAGCTAGCATTAACCTTATGCCACATTCTCTATTCAAGAAACTTGGTGTGGGGGAACTTCAACCTACAACTATAGCTCTCCAATTGGCGGATAGAACCATCCGTTATCCTATTGGGGTAATGGAAGATGTTCTTGTGAAGGTTGGAAAATTTTATTTTCTGGTGGATTTTCTCATTCTAGAGATGGAGGAAATGGAAATTCCGGTGATTCTTGGAAGATCTTTCTTGGCCACGGCGGCCGCTCTTATTGATGTGAAGAATGGAATTGTGAAATTCCGTGTTGGGGAGGAGGAGCAAGAATTCCATGTTTGGGATTTCTTGAAGAAACACCATGATGATTCTACATGTTTTAGTATCAATATTTTGGATACTTTGACACAAGAAGTTTTTGAGAGGGAAATACATGAAGATCCTCTTGAGGGGTGCATCATGCTAGGATGCACCGAAGATGAAGAAATTCCTGCACTTTTTGAAGAAGTGATGTACCTTCAAGCCGGAGGTTCTTACACCAAATTCCGTCCTAAGTTTGAAGAACTTGGTGCAAGGAAGTCTAGCCAAAAATCTTCATGTGAAGTTGCTCCAAGGCCTACTCTAAAACCTCTTCCGGGTCATCTCAAGTATGCATTTCTTGGAGATGATTCTACATATCCGGTGGTAATTTCTTCTACACTCACCTCTTTGCAAGAAAAAAAATTATTGAGAATTCTAAGGGCTCACAAGTCCTCTATTGCTTGGTCCTTGGCGGATATTAAGGGTATTAGCCCTTCTCTTTGCATGCACCGGATTCTCATGGAGGAGAATCACAAACCTACAATTGAACATCAAAGGAGATTGAATCCCAACATGAAGGAGGTAGTCAAGGAGGAAGTTCTCAAACTCCTTGATTATGGCATTATTTATCCCATTTCGGATAGCAATTTCGTTAGCCCCGTTCAAGTGGTGCCCAAGAAAGGAGGAATTACCGTTGTGGCTAATAGTAAGAATGAATTAATTCCTACTAGGATGGTCACCGGTTGGAGGATGTGTATTGATTACCGGAAATTGAACACCGGCACTAGGAAGGATCATTTTCCTCTCCCATTCATGGACGAAATGCTTGAACGTGTTGCGGGTCATGAATTTTATTGTTTCTTGAATGGATTTTCCGGCTATTTTCAAATAGCTATCTCACCCGAAGATCAAGAGAAGACCACATTCACTTGTCCTTTCGGCACTTTCGCTTATAGAAGAATTCCGTTTGGTCTTTGCAATGTCCCGGGGACCTTTCAAAGATGTGTCATGGCCATTTTTTCCGACATGGTAGGAGGTTTTATGGAAGTCTTCATGGACGACTTTTCTGTTTTTGGAGACTCTTTTGATGCTTGTCTTCTTCATCTTGAGAAGGTTTTGATAAGATGCAAGGAAACACACTTGGCTCTCAATTGGGAGAAGTGTCATTTTATGGTGACCGAAGGCATAGTCTTGGGACACAAAATTTCCTCCCAAGGCATTCAAGTTGATCAAGCCAAAGTGGAAGTTATTGAGAAGTTACCTCCACCTCATTCGGTGAAAGCCATCCGGAGCTTCTTGGGACATGCCGGTTTCTACCGGCGATTTATCAAGGATTTTTCAAAAATTGCAAAGCCACTTTGTGATTTACTTGCCAAAGATGCTCACTTTGATTTCACTCCACACTGTCTCCAAGCTTTCAACACTCTCAAGAAGGCTCTCACTACGGCCCCGATCATTATCTCACCGGATTGGTCACTACCTTTTGAACTCATGTGTGATGCTAGTGATCATGCAATTGGGGTTGTTCTTGGGCAAAGGAAGGAGAAGAAGCTCCATGCCATCTATTACGCTTCTAGACTACTCCATGATGCGGAGTTAAATTATGCCACTACCGAAAAGGAGTTCTTAGCCGTTATTTATGCTTTTGATAAATTTCGGTCATACCTCATTGGACAAAAGGTGATTGTCTATACCGATCATTCCGCCATCCGGTATCTCATGAGCAAGAAGGATGCAAACCAAGATTAATTCGTTGGGTATTATTACTACAAGAATTTGATCTTGAAATTCGGGATAAAAAGGGGAGCGAAAATCTTGTTGCGGATCACCTTTCCCGTCTCGAAGCTAACACCACATCCCACAAGGAAGTTATTCATGATGATTTTCCTTATGAACAAATCATGGTGGTTAGTGGAGTACCATTACCTTGGTTCTCGGATTTTGTGAACTATCTTGCCAAGGAAATTCTTCCTCAAGAATTCACATTTCATCAAAGAAAGAAATTCTTGAATGATGTCAAACATTATTATTGGGATGAACCTTACCTCTTCAAGCATTGTGCGGATGGTATCATACGAAGGTGTGTGCCCAATGAGGAAATGCTACCCATCCTTGAGCATTGTCATAATCTCCCTTGTGGAGGTCATCATGGTCCCGATCGGACCGCCGCCAAGGTACTTCAATGTGGATTTTTCTGGCCTACTTTATTCAAGGATGCTAGGAGCTATGTTCAAGATTGTGATCGTTGTCAACGAACCGGTAATTTGAGCCGGAGGAATGAAATGCCACAAAATATGATGCTTGTGGTCGAAATCTTTGATGTTTGGGGGATTGATTTTATGGGACCTTTTCCCAAATCCCATGGCAAGGAATATATACTTGTAGCGGTTGACTACGTCTCCAAGTGGGTGGAAGCAATAGCCTTGCCGGATAATACCGCCAAGTCGGTGGTAGATTTTGTGAAGAAGAATATATTTTCAAGGTTTGGTGTCCCGAGAACCATTATTAGTGATAACGGTACGCATTTCAAGAATGCTCACTTCACCAGTCTTCTAAAGAAGTATGGGTGCCTTTTCAAAAGTGGAGCTACTTACCATCCTCAAACAAATGGTCAAGTAGAGGTCTCTAACAGGGAAATCAAATATATCCTTGAGAAGACGGTCAACTCTTCTCGGAAGGATTGGTCTTTGAAGCTTGATGACGCCTTATGGGCATATCGAACGGCATTCAAAACGCCTCTTGGTATGTCTCCTTATAGGCTTGTTTTTGGAAAGCCTTGTCACCTTCCGGTGGAGCTAGAGTACAAATCTCGTTGGGCAATTTCTCAACTCAACTATGATCCAACACTTGCAAAGGAAAGAAGGCTATTACATCTTGACGAGCTAGATGAACTACGGAGGGAGGCTTATGAGAATTCCCGCATTTACAAGGAGAAAGCCAAGGCGTGGCATGACAAGAACATTTGTCGAAGGGAATTCCAAGTTGGGCAGAAAGTGCTCCTTTTCAACTCAAGACTCCGGTTGTTTCCCGGAAAATTGAAGTCCCGGTGGTCGGGACCTTTCACCATCACCGAAGTCCGACCATATGGAACTATGATGATCAAACAAGGTGACAATGAACCTTTTGTTGTCAATGGTCACCGCTTGAAGCACTACATGGAACACCACAACACCTCTGCCACCATCTCTTGCCCCTTGGAGGATTGATCACGAAGACGTCCGGCCAATGACGTTAAAGAAGGCGCTTGTTGGGAGGCAACCCAATTTCATATCCTTTTTTTTTACATGTTTGTCTTTCATTATGCTTTTATACTCTTATTGCTTGTGGACGATGCAATTCAAGTGTAGGGGGAGAAGCAAAGCAAAGAAATGTGAAGTTTCAAGGCAAATTTTGAACAAAGTGGGCGGAATTAGCAAAGGCATCGAAACCCGCCCGGCTTTCGCGAAAGCCGCCCGGCATTCGGTCGCCGTAGGTTAATTCCATTTATTCAGATCGAAAACCGCCCGGTTTTCCCGAAACCCGCCCGACTTTCAGGTCTGCTTCCCAGGTATTTTTCTCGCACACGAAACCCGCCCGGTTTTCGGGATTGTCGCCCGGCTTTTGGGCGCCGAAGGTAATTCCAGATTATTTACATCGAAAGTCGCCCGACGTTCGTGTAAGCCGCCCGGCTTACGGGTTCTGGGAACAATCTGTT